TTGGGTACTGCTTTCGTGAACGACATTATTTTTTCGAAGATAAATTCTCATTTTTGGTTACAGTTTCCCCAAATTTACGATTGCCGACAATTATATCTGTCTCTTATACACATCTAGATGTGTATAAGAGACAGTGTTAATAGTAAACAACACACTCCACTTGCAAGTATGGCGTTGGACAGAAGTTCTTCAAATGATAAATCTGAGCCGGTTTCAGGCATATTTTTGTGATACATGTTGTAAGAACCTAGAGTATGGTTGTGTCATTAAGCGTAAACAGCTTAAAGAAATTTAAGGATGTGCAACTCTGTGGAAAACAACAAATACGAGTCCTCAGTAAGGCCTATTAAATTTCCGTCGAAGCTGATGAATAGCCTACATATATAACGAAGGGGATCTCAGGGATGGTGGTGCAAGTAGTAGTAGTCAAAATTGCACCGAATCTGTTTAAAGGTACGTGTGTGGTTACATATAACGTTAAAAATGTTATGGTATGTTTTACTTAATTGAGAAGCACTAAGCGTCTCTCTATCACACGACACAAAAAGACAGGAAGCCCTGCCTTTTCCTCAAACTGGGGTCTATCGACAGCAAAATAACCACAGAGTATTGTGAATCAAATACGATGATGTTATATTGTAATAAGCATATTGAGACAATAATGTTGGCAATGAATCGACCCAGCATAACAACTGACCATGAAGACAAATCAAGAATAGCCATCCACAATTATATAGCAACTATTTACTACTGTCTACCAAGAACAATTACTACACAAATTGAAACAATTCAGTTTTTTGGGGTGGGGGATGTGCCCTTCAGTGACTGTGCTTAGACTAAGTAATTCAGGCTTAATTTGATTTTAATGTCTTCATGAAAAGAATATAACACAATTATTATATTAATAGTACAGTATGCTTTATCTACATAGGAATCCTTAGACACAACATAACAAAAAATATATGTATTAATAGGTATCAAAACTGACTTAAGCAAATAATATTTATCAACACTTTGATGTCCAATTAAACATCACCACCTGCATTTAATAT